TATGTCTGAATACAGTATGTGAATTACTTACGTGTTGTGGTTTTTGTGTGTGTTTTGTTTTTTCCCCAAAGGGATAGTGGAGCAATCACAACAAGCATATCAAGAAGCTTTTGAAATCAGTAAAAAGGAGATGCAGCCAACACATCCTATCAGATTAGGTCTGGCTCTAAACTTCTCCGTGTTTTATTATGAGATTCTTAATTCCCCGGAGAAAGCCTGTTCCCTTGCAAAAACGGTAAGTCTAAGGGGGGAAGAAATTCTGTGTATATTATTTGCATAACCTTTTGTCACATGGCCAATGGAATTGTTTGTTTTTATAACACTAGGCTTTTGATGAAGCAATTGCTGAACTTGATACATTAAGTGAAGAGTCATACAAAGACAGCACGCTAATAATGCAGTTACTGAGAGACAACTTGACAGTGAGTATCATTAGAGCTTACATATAGTTGATAACTGGATTGGTTTTTTGTGGCACTCAGAGTTGTCCTGTTTGTTCTCAGCTGTGGAGCGGTGTCTGTCATTCATTTGCAGATGAGTTTACAGTACATCGTGTTTCTGAGCTACATCTTTTTCTCCTGCCTAGTCTTTTTTGTCTGCATGCCAATTAACACTGTTTTCTGACATGACAAACTGACCAAATTTTTCACTTTTTTTTAATTCAAGGAATTTAGCTTAAGTGACATAGTTTGGACTGTGACTAGCAAAGCTATTATCTTTGGTTAAGCAGCATTTGAGAATACAGTTGCATTTGCCTTTTCAAAACTTAATGTCAAATTTCATATTGCCTGTTCTGTGTGATTGCATGTGCAAGGAATAGATCCTACAAGAAAACTACAAACAAAGCTAGCAAGTCCATTTAAGGGCCTGTTGTTTGCGGTTTCTTTGTTTGATTTTAATTTTGGTAAAGCTGAAATTGGAATCAGTGCTAGCCAGGCTATTTCCATGGCAGTCGTAAAACAACTGCTTAATTCTTTTTTTCCTTGGACTCATAGCTGTCTGTTGTGTAAGTTATAGACCCAGATTGTGTTGCTGTCTCAGAGTAATCAAAATCTTCATCTTGTGTGTAGGGTTTTTTTTAACCTGCTTTGAACTTTAAAACTGGCAAAGATAACCATCTAAAGCAAATGAAACAGTAAATGTAAGCAAATATGCAATAGTGTAATTAATGGCATAGTTCACTCCCCAGTCTTCGTGGGGGGAAGGGAGAGCTGCAAGCCAGAACTGAAAAAATAAGAAGCACCTCTTGTCGCCAGATGTAACCCCTTGTTCACGTTCTGTGTGTCTCATACCAGAGACATTTACAAAATAGCTGGGCATCTTTTAACCTAACTAGAGGTAAAGCTGTACAGTTGCATAAAATTGGAGTTGCCGTATTTTCTACTTTTGTTTCTAACAGTTTATTTCCCTGCTCCTTGGAACCTTTTCCACTAGAATGGCAACTTAACACTACTGAAAAAACTACTTGTGATTGTTCCAGCTGTTGCTTACAAAACAAATGGAAGAGATTTCTCAGCCTCTGTAATGGAGACAGATACAGGGTTGGCATCGCTCTCAATGTCTGTGTGTGCTGTCCCCTTGAGTGGGATTGCTCAAGAGCTGTCCTCTGAATGAGTGGTATTGAAAAAGAGAATAGAAGCTGACTTTAATTGCTAGCTTCCCAGTAAAAATAATGTAAATCTTGTCATAGCCGTTGGAAAGCAAATTGTTTGATACAAGAGCAAAAGTTGGATTGAGCTACTGTAGTGTGTGAATTATGGTAGTGGCCTGATAATTGATATGAGCTTTCCATTATAAGGGAGAAAGCTGTAGACAGCTGCAGGATTCCATATTCTTGAATGGATGATATGCCTTGCCTTAAATGCTTAGTGTGAGCTGTACAAGTGCATTGATTCCATGTTTTTCCGCAACTTCTTGAGGTAGAAAATAAGTTTTGATGCATGTACGACAGACAAAGACTGCCATGAATTTCATGAATGTAAAAAAAGTCTGTTTTGCTAGTTATGCAGGTCTGTTAAAAAGGGTTTGGACAGTGATTCAGCATGATGATCAGTTACGTGCAGGAGCGATTTCCTCAGTTGTTGATTCTTTTTATGTTGAGTCTTGTACAGCTGAAGAGTGTGTGTTCATTCTGCGGGGGGGCTGAAGGCAGACAAGTGTTCAGAGGGTTGTTTCATATGTCAAGTCAAAATCTGTTTTACTGGGGTTGCTAGAGAATTCCTTCTTTGCTCTGTTATGAAATTGTTTTTTCTTTAAAAAAACAAAAACAAAACCAAACAAAAAGGCATCCCTTCTCCCTAAGGGCTTTTTTTTTCCAGCAGATTTGTTAAACTGTGCTCTCAATTTGTAATCCTTTCATACCAGTCAGGCCCTTTTTATTTCATTAATATAGGTGTATGTATGTACATATCTGTGGTGAGGATTTAGGATAGAAGCCTCTCAGAAAATTCTAATAAAATTGTTCCCTATATGAACAGCACTGAAGTTGAGAATAACATAGTATTCTTCTAATGTAGTATAGAATGTAGTACAGGGGCTAGAAACTGAGAAGTATACTGCTGTCTGCACTAACCTAACTTGTTGCTTAATGCCTTCAGCAAGGAACATTTAGTGCAGATATTGTGTACTATGTTCAGAGCAAGAACAAGGCTACTGGTCTCATACAAGTTTCTCTATTGTCTTGTACTCCTGGGAAGGATAAAATGTTTCTGATGATGGGGTTTTTTTTTTAAAGGTGTGGGGTTGGTTTGTTTGGGGTTTTTTTAGCATCTTGTGAGACGTAATGTAGGTAGCGAGTAAACTGTAGGTAGAGAGAATTAGTTGTTCTTAGGTTTTACCACCTTATGCTATAGAGCGTGAAGGATTCAGTTAATGCTGCTGTAACTCCATAAAACGAGAGATTATAAAGCGAGAGATTACAAATCATACTGGGCTGGTAATAGTTTGGAAGCAGCCAGCGTGGTGAAATACTTGGTTCACAAAATAATTTCTTTGCCCTGGGTGTTGCTCTGGAATTGATGCTTAGTTTCCTTAGTCGGTACTTAATCTTGATATATGGCTCCTTAGTATGATTTTATGGAGCTTAAAATAAGATTTTGTGCATACTGCATACTTAGCCTGATTTTCTTCCCTCCTTGCCCTGCCCTCCACATTTGGAAGCGCTCTGTTCCAAAAGTTGCTGAAGGGGAGCACGACTGACTGACTAGAGCCAAGGGATAGAGATTTCAGTGAAATACTTTTGTTTTTAAAAAACCCAAAAAGACTTCAGATGCCTGTTTTGTGGAAAAGGTGGCGTTCACTCTAATGATGGATGAGGAGGGAGACCTTTACTGAAGCTCTTCCTTCAGAAAGATGTGTAAAGCTCACTTGAGGAGAAGGTACAAATCCACAGGAAACCAAGTATTCTTAGTTCCTGATTCTTGCTTGCTTGTAATCGTGTTTTAGTGAGCCTTGTGGATACAAGACTCTGTTTTTGACAGTTCATGAACTTCCTCATTAAATGCAGCGTAGGGTTGGGGCACTAGGACTAGATTTCCGTTTTGTCTTGTGTAGAAGTAATAGCCAAGAAATACATTCATGGTAACGTGCGCTTTTTCTTTTGCCATGGTGCTTAGGAGGACCTCTTACAAAATTACTATTTAAGACATAGGCCTTCTTCCTAGCAATTCCTTATTAATAGTTAGTCATAAATGTTAATACCTTACATATTTTACTCTGTTTTTCTTTCCCAAACAGTTGTGGACATCGGATACCCAAGGAGATGAAGCCGAAGCAGGAGAAGGAGGGGAGAATTAACCAGCCTTCCAACTTCCGTCTGCCTCATTCTGAAATTTACACAGTAGACCATTTGTCATCCATGCTGTCCCACAAATAGTTTTTGTTTACGATTTGACAGGTTTATGTTACTTCTATTTGGATTTCTATATTTCCCATGTGGTTTTGTTTAATATTAGGGGAATAGAGCCAGTTAACATTTGGGGAACTTATCTGTTTTCATCGGAGGTGGCCAATATAGGGTTGTGAAATTTTTATACGAGTTTTACATGTTTGGCATAGTACTTTTGGTACATTGTGGCTTCCCACAAGGCCAGTGTTAAAACAGCTTTCTATGTCAAGCAAAGATGACTGCTTGCATATTGGTCTGTCATGATGGAAAAAAGGGATAATCAGTTGCAGCCACAGGTGTAGTTAGCATGAATGTTCAAGCTGGAGCACACATGGCTGTGAGTAAACTGATGTCCCATAGATATTGCATGTCAAGTCAACATGTGAAATCTGTGGAATATACCAATCAAGTGTACATCTTTGATTGCAGCTGAAGTGTTCCTTAAGACAGTTTGATCACCCAGTCAACTTTCTCTAGAGAAGGACAGAGAAACGGTTCACATTCCATTATTTGTAAAGTTACCTGCTGTTGCTTTCATTATTTTTGCTACACATTTTATTTGTATTTAAATGGTTTAAGCAACCTAAGAACAAATGTACAAGTAAAGATGCAGTAAAAAATGAATTGCTTGATATCCATAATGACACTGTATATCGAGCACAGCAGTAAAACAAAAACCCATGTATTTAACTTTTTTAGGTTTTTTGCTTTTGTGATTTTTTTTTTTGATACTTGCCTAACATGCATGTGCTGTAAAAATAGTTAACAGGGAAATAACTTGAGATGATGGCTAGCTTTGTTTAATGTCTTATGAAATTTTCATGAACAATCCAAGCATAACTGTTCAGAACATGTGTATTAAGTTGATGTAAGTGGAATAAAAGTTTTATGAATGGACTTTTCAACTACCTTTGTAGATTTCATGTGATCTGTCTTCCCACACCTTTCAGAGTAATGGCAGCGTTATACACAAATTCAGTGTATAAGTATTTTTATTCTGAAAAACCTTAATACACATTTAGGCATTTGGTTAATTTCAGGGAAGTCAAGATTGAATACTTCATATCTGATTTTAAGATTGCTCTAATTATAATTAATTTACAACTTTTAGATGCCTGCAGATTTCTGACTGCCCGGCTGGTACTCTGGAGATACCTTGACAAGCATGTGGTCCCCAGACTCACAGCAAAAGGCACATGAAGTTCTTTAGGAGCTGACCTTTGGAATAGGTCTGGTTATGTGGAAACCCATAGCTTGCTGCCATTAGCCCTTTAAAGGAGAACGGAGCAGGAGCCTCCACAGAGTTCAGAGGGTTCAGACGCTACAGCTCAGTGTGTGGAAAGGGTAACGATGCTCTTCCTTTCCTTTCCTCATCCCCAGTGAGGTCTGCACTGATGGTACTCACAGAATAACTACAGCATTCATAGATATTTGAATTGAAACTGAAGTAATTATGGGGAAAGGGAGACTAATTCTCAAACAGTATCACATCTCTGTCAAGAACGGAGACTCCTGGAAAATAATTGGACTGTATTAAAATATTCTCATTTTATTTATGTAGTCAACATAAAGGAAGCTTGAGTGGGTTTTTTCTTGACTGAGCTGCAACTGTAAGCACAGTGTAAGTGCATTTTCTAGTTTTAGATAACTTTTTATTTGGGTGAAAAAGTTATCTTGGTGCTACCAGAAGAATAAGATGAACCAAGTCACTGAATGTGAATTCCATTGCCTTACCCTTTTGCACATGCAGTGAACTTAAGCAAGTTACAGGTCTGACTTTTTAGAAGTTCATCGTAGGTTTTTCCTTGTATTTAAAAAAATATGTTAAAATACGATCATTACATTCGGAATGTGATGCTCCATTTCTAGAAGCAGCTGAGCCTTCTGTCCCAGAATTTAAGGATTGAGATTGGTAGAAAAGGTGGGTAGGATAATCTTAAACCTTAAAAAAATAGTTACGGGACACTAGTCACTGTTCCTAGAATTGGAAGTTAATAATCTGCTATAATAAGTAATAAAAATTAGAATCTGATTAAGAACAGGAAGAAGGGAAGAATATGGAGGGCAAAGGTTAATGAGGCTTTCTAAGGGAGAGCTTAGTATGTCCCTCAATTACCAGTGACAAAAAGTAACAATGACTTCTTTAATACATGAAAGCACATGTCAAAAGGAAAAAGCAGTAATCAAATACATTTACAAAACAAAGGGCTACATTCCAGTCTGGAAGCAATGCAAGTTGGCAGACCATGACTAAAAAATTCCTTTGGGGATATTGGATCCACTTTTGGAAAGGAAAGACCATAGCTTGCTCTATAGCAAATATGAGCTCCGTCTCTTAGACAGGCGTTAATGAAGATGTTGCCTGCTTTCCTTACTGAAAGGATTTGACTTTCAACTTGCATGGTAAACTGGTTTACTCTGAACATTTAAGCTATATGAAATAATGTCACCTGAAAATGCCTTTTTTTTTTTTTTTTTTTTTTTTTTTTTTTTTTTAACCTTTATCCAACTGTTTAAGGAAATTTTGAGTTAATAGGGTTCTGTAAAGTTACTCCAGGTACCTGGAGAAATGGAGGTACTACTGAAAATTAAAAAGCACATAATCAAATGAGGACCGGTGGAAGGTAGCAGAAGTATTCTACTCTTGTTCCTTTAAACACAAGGTATGAAGGTATCTTTACACAGGGGAGGTCATTGGATTCTTTTGCTGTGGTGGCTTTTTGTTGTTTTTGTTTTTTTAAGAAAGCCTTCTCTTATTTCAGTACCTAAGCTGATCTTCTAAATACCGCAGGAGGTTCACCCCTGAGTCTTCCTTTCCTCCACTCCTCCATTAGAGTGATCAACAGTATTTGATGGTGACAAAAAACTTCCCATATTGAACGATCAGCGTATTTTCATGTATTTTTAGTCCTTGTTCTGACACTGAAGACCCTCCTCAAATGTGGCAGCGCTGCTTCACACAGTGCATATCCCATTCTGTAACGTGGTCTCCTGCTTTGTTGAGCAGAAAAGGCTCGCAGAGGGGCTTGAATCCTTTGAGCCTTCATTGCCACAGTAGTGCTGTGCCCATGCTTGCAATACGGAATCCAATTTTAGGGGAACCCCGTAGCGCTTACAAAAGATGGACTTGGACAGCATGGGTTGAAGGGGCAAAACAATGAGGGAGGTTGGGGGTGTTTAAAATGAACTGCCTGTTGCACCGAGGGCAGCCTAGCACCCACCTGCAGCTGTGGGGTCCTGAAGGGGAAGTCTCCCAGGGTGACGATACGGGCGTGCAGAAACTTTAACGACGCAAGTCGAAGGCGCTGCGGAAGCAGTCTCCGACAGCCCGCTTAGCGCCTGCCTTTGAGTCGCCTTTTGCTTAGGGTCCCTTTGGAAGGCGGGTAGCTAAACCAGCTGCACCTTCTGCTGGTGAGCCGCCGGGGCAGCCGGCAGTGTGTGACTGGGTATGCTTCCTTACTTCCAGTAATTTACATCGCAGCAAGATCCTGGCAGGCTGATACTGAACGGAGGAGGGAAGGAAGGACAGCCCTATGCATAAGAAAACGTGTTGGAAGTCAAGATTTAGCCTCTATTCCCAACTCCCTCTTGGGATTGTTTTATGGTAAGTAGCTTTATTTTCTTCCAAGGTGCAGTTAAAAGATGTTGGAAGGTAGGGAAGAAATCCCAGGCTTTCTGAAAATGGTTCCTTCAAGTACCCGTTCCAAGAGAGAAATTGCTTGCTGCTGACGTGGTGGTATGGTGCCTCAAAATGCTTGTAAGGAACCTGCTGAAAGTGAGAACTGCCCTAAACAATCGCTGTAGCCTTTGAGCTGTATTCAAAGGCATTGCGTTAATCTAATACCTGAAAATAATTTTTTGCCTATACCACCCTTAGAAAAAATAGTATTACCCATCAGCTGTAATACCCCTGTAGTAGTAAATGCTTGCGTAGTAGTAGGAGCTGCTAGTTGTGATGAGTAAGACCCAAACATGCATTTCCTCTCTTGAGGTTACAAATTATACAGTTAAAGGTTGCTTGATTCGTTTATTCTTCTGTTTTAATGTAACAAAATAATTTGCTTTAAGGATGATTCTCCTTTTTTTCTATCCTCTTGTACCCTAGTCTGAAATAACAAAAAAAAAATCATTTTAAACCTGCCAAGTGCTAATTGCCATAACAACTACCTGCTTTTTAAAAAATTCATGACAAGCGACAGCTCCAATGTGAATCCAGAAAATGAAGCTCAATTCTCTGTTTTTTTTTTACACTGCGCCTCGCTGTCCCCAAGCTCTGCTTTTGACAGATGAGTGACAGGAAAGTGCTCCAAAGGCTTCTTATCCCATGTAATTCAGTTTCCAGCTGAAAGCAGAAAAGCTGAGGCTGCTCTCCTGGTTTGGCCTTGGGGTGAGAGATCCCCCTCGGGTTGGTGTGATTTTTACTGGATTCAGCACTTTGCATTATCATCAGCTGCTTGAGTTGTGGGTCGCGTTACCTTCTACCCTCTCCTCCGCAAGGCTGACGCGGAGCTTCAGTAGGTGCAAAGCACAGCAGACTTCAAGTGGGTGCTGGAAGCAGAATGAACTGTTCTGGAGGTGTAGATTTGCTGTGGAGATGAGAGGGGACATGAGGGCTATCAGTCATCCATTAGCACTGGCTATGCAGCTCTCGCCTCCACCATTTAGATGAGGGATGCATCCACTGGTTTTTCCAGTGGGCTAACAGTTACTGAGATGGGTGTTGGTCTCTTCTCCCAGGTAACGGGCGATAGGACGAGGGGAAATGGCCTCAAGTTGTGTCAGGGCAGGTTTAGGTTGGACATGAGGAAAAATTTTTTCAGTGAAAGGGTTGTCAGGCATTGGAACGGGCTGCCCAGGGAAGTGGTGCTTAGGGACATGGTTTAGTGGTGGGATGGCAGTGTTAGGTTAACAGTTGGGCTTGATCTTAAAGGTCTTTTCCAACCTAAACGATTCTATTAATTCTGATTCTATGATTGGCAGTGAAGTACATACGGGGTAGAGCCACGTCAATCATGCTACGTACCAAATTGCCTTTTTAGAACTAGAGAGAAAATGGCAATTTCAGATTCTGTTCCTAGGCAAAACACAGCAATAATTGTGGCTTGGAAGTAGGAGTTTCTAAGGGCTTCAGAGGTTCACTGTGCAAGCCATGCAGTTTTGCTTGACCTCTCAGGAACCCACATTTTTGGAACATCCGAGGTTCCTGCAGTGAGCAGGGCAGTTTTAGACACGTTTGGAGAGCTTTCTGGTAGAGCTGTTTTGCAGAATTTTTTTTTTTTTTTTTTTAAGGAAACTTTTTCAAATGCAGCTGCTTAGATGGATGCTTAGCCCTACTGGCAAAACCTCCAGATGTTACCAGATCGGAATGGCTGAAAGTAGCCTTGAAGGAAGCTGAAACATACGGGGCCCGAAATGCAACTACTAGATGCACATCTGGAATGCTGTAATTCTTTGTGGCCCCATTACTTTATGTGACTCCTGACTGGGAGGAAGAGGGCAAAAAGAAAAGGTTTCAAGGACAGAGCTTCAAATGCGTCATGCCTTGGATTACACGTCTGGGGCTTGTCTTTGATAGAGCTTGGAAAATAGTCAAAGAAAATAAGTATTTTTAACCGCAGGCTACCTTTCTTTTGGTTTTTTTTTCTTTCTTAGGGTGGGTGGTTTTTTATGTTTTCTTTCTTACCAGAGATGTGCTTCCCTGAAGCGACTTAGCAAATGATTTCTGTTGACCAGCCATTTCTTGTCTGACAAGGAACATTGATTTTGGTGGGAGGCATTTCTCCCTTACTGCCTTTGCTTGCTCCGTGTTCTTTCTCCTTCCTTTTAAGCCTGATCCATTGTATAAGCTGTCCTGTAGCGCCTTAAAGCTGGAGCTTTTCATCAGAAATCTACATATTTGTGGTGAGTAAAGTGGTATCTGCGTATCGGAAGCATTCATTTACAATGCCACTATTGCTGTAGATTAGAGTGCCGCCTGCATAAAATCTAAATACCATGCACTCGAGCTGCCATCACAGGCAGACTGGCAAGCGTGCGTGGACCCCAGGTGACTTGTAGGGCAGACATAACAGCTTGTCAACACGTGTGAATTTGCAAAGCCAAGTCCCAAGCTGCTGAATTTTTTAAGATCCTTAAAGAGGAGAGAATTATTTAAACATAAATCCTTATCATGGTAAAATATCCTTATGCATAGATGACTGTCAAATTTAATTCCATTGGGTTATTTCTTTACATCTAAATTTGATCGTTTTACTTCTTTACATTTCAAAAGTAATGCCTAGAAATGTTCTGGCCTGGCTTGACTCTTTCTGCTGGCTGTATAGCCGCACACGGAGTAGAGGGGAAGACTGATCCCCAACCTTGTGCCGCAAAGCCTAGTGCTTGTCCATTGCACTGACCGTTTTTTAAGAGGCTCATTATAGTTTAACCTTCTGGGACAGGGTAGTTAAGCTGTTTTGCTGTTAATGCTAAGCCATTTAGCATCAGCATATCTAATTCCAACTGCCAAAAGGAACTGGAGAACCCTCCTAGGTCAGTGGGGTTGTCTCTGGATTGCCAGCAAGTAGCATTTCATGAATGAGAGGTTTTCTGACCAGAGATAAGGATGTACTGTTGCCTCTGTTGGTTACTTAATGTGTCCTGGGATGACCAGAGGTGATGGGCTGTAGGCTTTGTAGAGAAAACACTAAACTTCAGCAAAACATCTGTATGTGTGTTTTGAGACCCAACGTGGTTTCACAGTTCTGTTCAAAGCAGAGAAGGGTTAACTCCTTAATGCTTATAGCCGAGATTTCACCCAAGCTGGATGATGTGAGGCATTTCAGTGTGAATCCAGACCATTCACCTCCTACGTTCTCATCCTGCCGTGTGTCCGTGAGCAATGGCCATGAAAGGGTGACAGGCCCTTACGCTAGAGTGAAAAATTACTCAGTTATCAAAGCAGAGTGCTTACCTTTCAACAGCAGGAAAGCAGAAGTGTAAGTCTATTACCTAAAGCAGTGAACATCAGCAGTGAGTGATTTCCTCCAAGATGAAGCAGGCTGATGGTCAGTCTGCAATTCCAGCATAGCTTGAACTTCAGTCCTGACCTGCCAAGGCATAAGGATGGGTTTCACTTGCTGCTGCCCATCAGTAGTATCAAAGAAGTCTCGCTGTGGCATAGCAAATTTTGTGTACCATCCATCTTTTCCCAGTCTTACTTTGTCAGGCTTGAAGTTCAGTGTGTGCTAAGCCCCCAGCAAAACAGAAGGTTGCACAGCTGGGGCTATAGAAATAGCTTACTTTTAAACACTAGGGAAGAGAAGTCTGTGGCGTTATGTGTTCTGGAAGATAAATAATTATTTTACAAAGAATGCAAACGGATACTTTGGTGAGGTGAGCAAAGAAAATGCTAATAACAAGAGTACAACAAAAGGAAGTAAGAAGACGTGCTGAGAGAGATAGGGAAGTGAGGCAGCAAGAATCTAACCTCAAAGCACGTAGGAGATTACAGGGCCCGACTTCCGAGCCACCCTCTGAGCGCCTCAGTGAGGACGATTAGAGTAGCATGTTCAGTGGGACCCTGCCATTTCGTAGGGCTGAGGCCTGTCTCAAAAACCGTTCACACATGGACTTGATAAATGAGAATTTTTAGACAGAACATGACCTAGAAAAATGGTCTGGACTTTTGCAAAATGGGATCAGCTTCATTAAATGTGACCTTCAGAGACAAGCAGAGATAGACTTGTATCTTTTTTTTTTTTCCTTGCCTTTTTCTAAATTAAGAATTTATATGTTAAGCATATGTCAGGCCTATGTTACTGACAAAACTGGGGTGAGATTTTGATTAAAATTTGGGTTTGGATGTACTGCTTATCCCCAGTAGAAATTCAGGCCACAATTAAGGTCATAGGGGAACCTGTAAAATGACTTCATCATCAGGGTGAAGGTACCGAATGCTGCACAGATAAGGGTTTTAAAGGAATCGCCTAACTGATTTTGATTTTTCTTAACTAAAAAACCTGCCGGTGCATGATGAGCACTGCGGCATGTCATCACAGACTCAACAGCTTCTCCTTTTCCATCACTGCAGGGGCTCAAAATGATCATCCTGAGGGGTTGGTCAGCAAAGGGAGCTATTGCTTGTTACAGTGATACAATACGCACCAGAAAGAATTCTTCCCTGCGCTTGAATCTGCCATGTATACAAGGCCCAAGGTTTTGAATACACTTGCAAAGTAAAATCAAAATCAGACTGGACACTCCCAATTGCAGCATCTACAAGCCAAGGGCAACCTCCAGCCATCACGCGGGAGCTACCTGCCTGCCACCCACCCGCCTGCATCCTGGTGGCTGCAGAGTGGAGGCAAAGAGCTGCCCTGCAGGCAGGAGCAACTGCCAGGACAGACAAACTGCCTGAGGAAGCCCTGGGGCTTCTCAGGGCTGTTAAAGCAGATTGGGAGAGAGGTGTGGAATTAGGCAAGCAGGAAGTGAAAGGACCCATGGATTTTCAAGGAGGAGAAGGAAATAGCTCTGGCGGTTGGGATGCAGTGGAGAGTCTTTCTGTGGTGGGATAAATACAGTAATAATGGGGGGAAAAAATCTCCGGAGAAGTCCCTTGTTAAATATTTTGGTAGTACCTCATGCTCCAAACCCATGGAAATGTAAAGGATGGATCCAAGATGCCTTCAGGTCAAAATGGGCTTAATTAGGGGCACCACCTGAAAGTCAAGTGCAAGGCTAAAATTGACACCTCAAGAACATTTGGTGGTGGCAGAAAACTGATATATGGAGGTGGAGGGTGGCCGTCGGGGATCAGAGTCATGAAGTTTGTGATGAGTTTGCAGCCTCCCCAGCTTGTGCCTCAATACCTCTCGAGAGCCACCGTCACTCATGAGTTGCCTTCTCCCTTACCCTACCAATACATTGGGGCTGATAACAAAGGGAAGGGAGAAAGAAGTTGCTGTGCTGGTTTCAGCCAAGGGGTTTTCTTGAGAAGAAGCTTTACTCAGACTAGAAAAATCTGGATTTTCTGTCTCTGAATTTCAAGATTTTTCTTTTTTTTCTTTTTCCCTACCAAATAGTTGAAACAAGGTAGCCAATTACTGTATTGTCTGTTCACTTTATTCTGGTAATACTGTATATATGGTATTTTGTTGCAAAATGAAAAGGAATCGTCGTCTTCCCCAAAGAAGTTCAAGAGCTTCGTGTCTCTGTCCTACGCTGCACCTGACTTTCAAGCTGTGCTGCTTCCCTGTCTCTGTGAGCATCTTGACCGGGCAATACGCGCGTTCAGCATCTGTTGCTGAACATAGGAGTGCTCCGAGGGCTGCATCCCCATCTGTGATCCGCTTCTCTGGAGCACCGAACAAACTGGTTTCAGGGACGAAGCCGTGAAGATCTCCTCCCTGCAGGCTGATAGCATGGACGCCCAAGTCATTTTTGCAGATTAGCCAGTTATTGCGTTATGGTCATTAAAGCTTTGGAACGTGAAAATCCCATCGGAGGCTGATGGTATGAATGACAAGTCAACCAGTGAAGCCAAATGAAAAGGAATCGTCGTCTTCCCCAAAGAAGTTCAAGAGCTTCGTGTCTCTGTCCTACGCTGCACCTGACTTTCAAGCTGTGCTGCTTCCCTGTCTCTGTGAGCATCTTGACCGGGCAATACGCGCGTTCAGCATCTGTTGCTGAACATAGGAGTGCTCCGAGGGCTGCATCCCCATCTGTGATCCGCTTCTCTGGAGCACCGAACAAACTGGTTTCAGGGACGAAGCCGTGAAGATCTCCTCCCTGCAGGCTGATAGCATGGACGCCCAAGTCATTTTTGCAGATTAGCCAGTTATTGCGTTATGGTCATTAAAGCTTTGGAACGTGAAAATCCCATCGGAGGCTGATGGTATGAATGACAAGTCAACCAGTGAAGCGGGGAGCCACTTCTGAGCCATCGGGAGAGCATCTGTTTATGGCCATCGTCGTCATCACTGATGCAATATTCCAAAATGGTTCCCCAGAAATTCAGCTCATTTGAACCTGGGAATTCTGTGGTTCTGTAAGATGATGTGACCAACCTTCTTCACCTGCCTGCCAGCTCCTCCTCCGCTTGAGAAGGCGCTGCGAGTGACAGACCTCCCAGGAGCTGGATGGATTCCCTGCCAGCGTCCAGTGCGGACTGGCGATGACAAACTTCACCCATCAAAGGCCAACTGAACAGGCCAGCTCTTTCTCTGCTGCGATAGTGCCATCTGTCATTGGTTTTTTCTAGCTTTTGGGGTATGATAATAGGAAATTACATTTTCTTGGAAGAATAATGAGGAAGCCTAAACTCTCTTCTGTCCCTAAAAGCTGTCCCTAAAGGTCACAGCTGAGACATTGGCAGAGAAACTCAAGGTGGCTGCCTGCCTTGCCTTGCTCCTTTTCCCTGGCTAAAGAATGGACTTCAGTCTGCAGGGCTGCCAAGTTTGACTGAAATGCATATAAGAGATCTTTTAATTGAAATGTTTGTTTAAAATATTATTCAAACAAGAAACTTCAAGGTGTAATTTAAACCTTACAGAAAATCACAGATATTTTCAAGGACATGTAAGCTGAATTTGGAGCAGGCTTCATGCCACATACTGAGCAGAAGCTGCATCACGCTCTACCTAACAAGGTTCCTGGGACAAATTAAAGAATCAGTTAAGTATCTTTCACGAGGAAATAAGATGTCCAAGAGAGATGAGCCAGATGACCTTTTCTTGATTCAAGAAATGTCTGTCACACTCTGATGATACATTTTTCTTTTAGCTGTTAGCCCTATGGAATGGACTGTGATATTTTTTTGTGGTATTCGATCCTCTTTAATTATGTCTTTTCTTTCACGTCACATGTGCTAAGGTTTCCAGTTGTGTCACAGACTTAAACTCCTTATGCTAACACCATATGCAGCTGATGATAGAACTCAATTAAAAAAAAAAAAAACCAGAACAGATCAAGACGCTATCAGCTACTCTAATGCAATTTCAGTGGCATGTTACAGCAAAAAGTAAAATCTGCCTTTCAGAAAATGAAAATGTTGCTTATGTTGTTGATGGAAAAACAAGTATTTTTGTAGTTACTTAAGAGCTACTGCTGAAAGTATCTGACGCCCTCCTTTAGCTGCGTCTCTGACAGAGAGCCCGAGGATGCTGTGTAGGAGTCTGGCTGTTCTGTAGCTGAGGAAGGAGCACCGAGAGAAGGGTTTGTTGCTTCTCAGGATTGCCAGAAGATGCAGAATTATCAAGAGAAGAGGGAAATCTCTTAGGAGACGTTTGTGCTGTTGGTAATGGCAGCAAATGCTGCGCTGGGCTCTACAGAGGCATACAAAACACATGCCCTGGGGGGGGGGCTTGTGCTCCCAGCTGTTGTTCAGCGCATCTGCAGAATTCCTCCAGAGGCAGGACACGATGCTGGAGTTCACGTCTGTGACTGCCTGGCACCTCCATCTGCTATGTAACCACAGCGGGGAATTGTCCAGAGACCTAAGCACTAAAGGCTTGGTGCCTACAAGTGTGTGCTGTTGGCAAGCCACGCTGAAACTCCATTTTCTGTAGTAAATAACGAGCTCGAGCTCTCTTGGATAGAGCAGCAACATGGGTGCTGTTTGTCCAGAGATACCTGTAATCGTTCTTTTTGTCTAGCTCGTAGGACAGCGTCATTATCAGTCTCATGACAGCAAACATCTTGTGTGCCGGGTCGTGTAGTAGGAGAATGATGTCAGGCTCCCCAAATTCAACACCGCATCCAGCCTACTGGAGCATTTTTGAGCACGAAGACCCCTGGGCAGTATTTCTCAGTATCAAGCCATAAAAGACGGCAAGCTGCCAAACTGTAAAGCATCTAGCCCGTGGACTTGGTACTGTAGATGGAGGAGGCAGAGTGGGAGTGCCACCTCCACCTGCCTGCAGGAGCCAGCTTCAACATGCGGGGCAGCAGTAACCCCCGTGCACCCCTCTAAAGCCAGCAGAAAAGAAAGGGACCCTTTACACAGGCGACTAACCCTCTCCGTAACAGACACAGGGTAAACTGGGTCTCCTGGAGATGCCCCTCCCTCCTTTGATGGGCAAGCGAGCCCCAGTTTTTGATGGCTGAAGTCAGAGGAGCTGCCCCTCCGTGTCCTGACTCATGCCTGCTCTGTTCCGTGCATGCAGCCTTGTCTGCTGCCCTCTCCCACCACATCAGTGTCAGGCTGCGTGTGTTTAGAAGTCCCTTTTCCCTGGGAGCCTCTGCATGGCTGGAGATGGGGATTTGAGGAGCAGGGAGATGCCTAACCCTCTTGTTTTTATAACTGGTTCCCTCGCTGCCAAGCAGCGGTGAAAACGGCGGGCAGCTCCTGCAAAACCCTCCAGGTTTCTCTTGCTTCCACGCTTACCTGGCCAGGGCAGGAGGGCAGCGGAGCCGGTCAGCCACCCCTTGGTGGGGCTGGTGCCTCTCCCGGGGCCCTGTCTTCAGTGACCCTGGTGCCTACAGGCACCCCGGGCCCTCGAGAAGCTATTTCTTGCCAAAATCATAAAGTCTGAATAAACAGAGGAGCTGTGCAGATAATAAACCCTTGATGTTTCAGGCTGTCATACACACGAAGCAGAGCACTGAAGTGAAATGACGTGCAAAGCTGCTGGGAGTAAGTATTCAAGCAGAAAAAGCATTTGGGAAACCTGCAAATGGGACCTGGGCATGGTTTTTCTTATGGTTAATTCAAAGCTGTCTGCAGCACGCCGATGCTACCTGCGCGGAGTGGTGCTCATCAGGACGCTGACCTCATCTTCACCGCAAAGCAAGGGAAGGAGCCGTAGTCCCCACATGCAGCCGCCCCTCAGAGCAGGCCTCTCTCCGGTTTCGGAGGCTGGTCCTTGCTGCCGTGCTGCGCCCCGTACCCGATGGGAAATGAGCCTTTTCTGAAATCAGTAGGGGTCTTGCCATTGCCTTTCAGAGAAGCTGGATTGGAAGCTCAACAAGGCAGAAAGCGCATGTTGCAATTAAAGAGCAAAAGCATCATGGCAAAAGTTGCAGTTTACACTGGAGGGAAAGATTTATGGTTCCGCTGTGCTTCTTTCCCAGGAGGACTGGGCTATCCTGTGTGACTTTTCGGTGGTTTCACAATCAGAAAACCGATGCAGCTGAAAACTAATCTTTATTTTCTGCTGGATGGGGTCCCTGATCGCGAGGGCACCAAGACACCAGTGGCAACACCAGGAGCCACCGGGATCCCCTTTCTGATCACAGCCCATTAGGAAACCACAGCCTGCAGGTAGAGCTTGAGCCTGCAAACTTGCAAGAGCCATGTGCAGTACTCGGCTTTTCCATCCTGGAGCAAAGGTGTGGGCTTTTGTAAGCATCTATGACCTGAACCAGGCTGATTCATCCATGAGCCACTCCTGCCTGAAACAGAGGTCGTGCAGTGCTGAGTCCAACCCTGCTCGCTCTCTACTCCTGTGTAAGGTGCAAATAATTATTGAGCCTAAAAATGTTCACAATTTTTTCTATACCTGAAAAGAAACTAGGTTAGCCAGTAAAAAACCACATTGCTTCATCTTTTTTTTCCCCTAAGAAGAGAGAAAGGTGAACTCTCTGTTTATAGACAAAGCGTGTAAAGGGTTTTCATCAGCGAGTTTATCTCATCCTTGTGTTGTGTTGCGTTACTTATAGTAAATAACGTGCTGATGAGATCTCTTAACATTTGCCGTAAGATTAAGGTTTTAGTAGCATGCTGTTGCAACCATGATGAGCTGGAGGTGGAAGCCAGGCGGGGTTTGTAGGGAGATACCAATATGTTGCACCAGATCAAGTTTAGATCTTGAACGTTGGGCACAGCATTTCTCAGTGCGTTTCCCCTTGAGAACCTTTCCATCACACGTGGTCAGGATCCAGAGTGAATAAACTGAATTTTACAGTTTCTAGCATTTGCTGTCTCCTACAAACTCAGCTAGAGGAGAGGGGATGGGAAAGGGAGAGCAGGGAGTTAATGCAGTTTCCACTGCCCTGTGATGTTTTTTCTTAAAACATTTCACCCACCACAACCCCACTGCAGAGCCGGACTCCGGTGCCTCTTCCAGAAACAACATGGGATTTGTTCCTGCTTGCCCAAATCGCTCCCCAAAGCTCGTGGCATTGCCAGCGGCTGCCTGCAAGTGGGGATATTGCTGCTTGTCAAGATGAACCATGGTAACTGGAGAGAAGCAAGGAGTCTCCAATGGTTCTTAATATTCCAAAATTCCTGGAGTACATGTGCAGTAAGATAAAAAAAGCCTAATTCATTTTGTATTTGAATAAGTCCTTTGGCAAAGAACTTAGATTTGCCAAATCAAGAAGACTGGCAACAGCTGCTGAA